CATCGGGCTCCCTGCTCCCCGGGAAGCCTGCTTCTCCCTCTCCCACTCCCGCTGCTTGTGTTCCCTCTCTCGCTGTATCTCTCTCTGTCAAATAAATAAAATCTTTAAAAAAAAAAAAAAAAGAAACCATAATGACATAACTGGGGTTTGAACGTACTTTAATTATTATAGGTTTCCTAGCCAAAATGTCTTATACTATAGTTCTAAACACTGATTACAGGTAATGGGCACAGATAGTTCCTCTTTCAAAGAGTTCACAGATGGAAAGAGTTCTAGTCATATGGACTCTGTAGTTATCAAAGTTATATTGTGAACAAGAATGTGTTTAGTAATAGACATTAAAATTTTGTCCCCAGAAGGCCATGGTATGTAATTATTTGCTAATGATTGAATTAACTTTTGTTGAATCTAGGATGACCAGGACTTACATTCCTATGCTTTGAATTTATTTCTGTCATCTATTTTATCAAAGATGATATAATAGTTGCATGTATTTACACTTCCTCTAAACTATGCCGTTTAACTAGACCTCCTCGGTTTGAATCCAGTCTGACAGTTACTAGCTGTGTGACTTTGGGGAACCCCTGTGTATCTTCAGTTTCCTCTTCTATAAAATAGGAATACTGCTATAAAATAGAAATAATACATACATCATGGGGTTGTTGTAGAGATTAAATGGGATAAAACCTAAGAACATTTAGAAGAGGGCTTTATACTTAGTATTATTTTTATTATTTTTATTTTTTTTAATTTTTTTAAAGATTTTATTTATTTGAGAGAGAGAATGAAAGAAAGAGAGCACAAGAGCGGGGAGGGTCAGAGGGAGAAGCAGACTCCCTGCTGAGCAGGGAGCCCAATGTGGGACTCGATCCTGGGACTCCAGGATCATGACCTGAGCCGAAGGCAGTTGCTTAACCAACTGAGCCACCCAGGCGCCCTGTACTTAGTATTATTTTTAAAATGTGAACACACATCACTACAAACCTCTGAGGCAGGTACTATTATTAGTCCCATCTTTCAGAGGAGGAAATGAAGCTCAGGGAAGTTAAGTAAAAGATCTAAGTTTCCTCTGCCAATAAGGAGCGAACCAGGTTGTACCAGGTTTGAAGGACACCAGAGACCAAGTTCTTATCCAAGATTCCAAGTTGCCTCCACCAACATGGAAGGGAAATCAGATAGTCATTTCCAATCAGCAGGGAAATGGTGTCAATGGACTTTGGAGCTTATGAGTTGAACTAATTACTTCCAGATCAAAACCTCTGAAAAATTATCAAGTAAAACTATTTTATCACATTTCTCAAATTCTTAAATTCCTGCTTTTGTCATCTGCTGTCTACGTTAAAAACTTTTGCCTACTTTTACTAGGCAAAGCAATGGGAGGCTTTAATTCTCACAAAAAAATAGTAGTTTTAAAAAGCATTTTTTCACATGTTTGCTGACTGTAGGGTATTTCCAGAGGTTCCTACCCCAAAGAGGATTACCTTGCTGTAGCTCCACCAGGTCTTTTGAGAGCATAAAATCCTTATGGTAGATGCAGTTTCACTCCTTTAAGTGGATACTCTTCAGCTAATAAACTAGAGGTAACATGGATGCATTTAAATCTTGGGAGAGCTTTTTGAAAGGTGCTGATAAAGTTATTTTAATATACTAAGAAACTGGAAATTGTTCAACATAAATCTAATTGCTCCCAGGAATGAAGATCAGTGTCCCAATTTGGAAAAGTTACATTTTATATCACAGAGATTGTGAACTAAGCCTACTAATAATGTTATGAAGGACACTTAGAAACTACCCATGAAAATCTCCAAATTAAAAACACCTGTTTCCTAAGGGCTTCTAGCCGGCTCTCTCGCTCTTCTTCTTCATGAGCTTCTTGAAGGGCCACTTCTTTTTTCTCCATCAAACGCTTTTCCAGTAATTCTTGTCTATATTTAACCCTTTAAAAATAAAGCACAAGGACGTTGGGAAAATATAATAATTATGGAAATTATACAGATGGGGCAGGAGGCATGTCAGAGGTGACATGACGGTCATAATTTTTTTTACTTGTTTTTGGTTGATTTCTCACAGCCACACAACAAAATACACTGGTATAAAATGCAAGCTACAATAATTCTAAGAACCAGAGAACTGCAGATCAGGGGGCAGGAAAAGGTAGGGTACAATCCAATCCATCTCTTTCTTCACTGAAATCATTGTATTGACTCTCAAACTATTTGTAGCCTGTCACAGCTGCAGCTAATCCGACCCAACAGATGACAGTCTCACTCCTGAGTGATTAGTCCAGCAGTTTTCTGAAGAGTTTTACACAATTTGAGATGTTAAAAAGGCGACGTTACTAGTTAAACATACATACTTTTAGAAAGAATAGTAAATGTTATAATAATATGTCCAGTTATTGGAACTTAAACCAAACTTTATATTGTCACTCATTTTGTCAAGAATGCCCTGTGTGTGTGTGTGTATAAGTTTAAAAATTGCACTTTGACTGTAGATGGCAGCAAAAACATGATTTTCCCTTAGCATTGTTTCCATTCTCCTTAAAATCAGCAGATACTAAACCAGAACACATTTCAATACCTTCAAGCTCATTTGACCCTCCTTTGCTGCCTTTTTTAGACAGCCTCCTTTCCCATCTTCTTGCCCAAGCCACTATTCTATTGAATTATAGGGATGAGATTTATCTTTTCTAAAAAAGTAGACACTTGGGTTCTCAGGGGAGAATGAGGCCATTGCCTCGGTCTTCCATCATTGATGGTTTAGATTTAACTTTAAGACATCAGTCACAAATGTGCTTTGTCCTTAGTGTGTATACCTGCATTTTCCATAGATGTACCCTCACTAGACCTGTTTAATTCTGGATCTTGAGGTTTACTGTTATAGCTGTTCACTATGTATCAAGTCTGTTGCTGAGTGCTTTATGTGTTTTAGCTCATTTAGACTTCACCACAACCTGATGTTGGGGTACCAGTGTTGATCCCATTTTAAAGACAAAGAAATGGAGGTATGGACTGGTGATGTAACTTGCCCATGTTCTCACACCCAGAAAGTGGCGGAGCCAGAGATTAAACCCAGGCAGACTGGCCCCAGATCTCCCACCGACCCTGACCCTCCCACCCCCCTGCTACTAGCCACTATGCTCTTCTCTCTTCTCCCCTTGATTACTCCACTCGCCTCACTGACATGAATACCTGCTGTGTGCTTCCCCTGTGCTGGATATTATGAGCACATTGAGAAAAAGACAACCCTTAGAAGTTTGTAGTTTATTTTATTTTTTAATTTTTTAAAAAGATTTTATTTATTTATTTGACAGAGAGAGGCACAGCGAGAGAGGGAACACAAGCAGGGGGAGTGGGAGAGGGAGAAGCAGGCT